TCTGGATTTATGCACAACTTTGCTTTGAATGATGTGGCCAAAAATACCTTTAATTCATCCTGTACCTCTGGTGGCTTTCTAATTAATGGATTAAACGTTGGCCATTCTGTACGTTGTTGACTCAGCCATGCCGGTCCATGTAGTCACAGGTCATTATTTATCAACTCCGATGGAAGTAGACCTCTACTCAACAAGTCGGCTGGGTTGTCTTTCGTGTTGACATAGTGCCAGCGTTTCACATCGGATTTATCCTGAATTGACTGTACGCGATTTGCTACGAACACTTTCAAATTATGTGCTTCCTTATTAATCCAGTGTAATGCAACTGTTGAATCTGTCCATAAATGATATGATGCATTCTCAAATTCCATTGAACCCTGTACACTGATCAGTAGTCTCGATAATAATTCAGCTGCTGATAGTTCCAATCTTGGAATGGTGACAGGTTTTATTGGCGCAACGCGAGCCTTTGATGTTAGTAGGTTGCTCAATATTGAACCATCAAAATTCTCTATACGAATGTAGAAGACTGTACCAAATGCTAAAGATGATGCGTCTGCGAAGCCATGTATCTCTACTGTTGTCTGTTCCAATGTGCCTAACCAACGGTCTATTTTGAAATCTTCTAACTGTACTATTTCATTCCAGTAACTGTACCATCTTTCCTTATTTTCCAATGGAACGTTTTGATCCCAATCTATACCGATCTTCCACAAATCGCGAATCATGATCCTGCCTGCGATGATCACTGGTGAAATGTAACCATTTGGATCATATAATTTAGCTACACAGCTGACCATTTTTCTCTTGGTGAGTTCTCCTTCAATTAATGGTGTTTTAACTTCGAACGTAAACTGATCTTTCCTCATCAACCATTTTAGTCCTAAGATCGATGAATCTTCCTCCTCCGAAAACACCATTGAGGTTTCATGGAGATCTGACCCTAACTCTTTCAACAACTCTACTGAGTTTGATTTCCATTGGCATAAGTTAAAACCGGCACCTTTTAATATTCTATGCATATTCTTTGCCAATTCGAATGCTTTCTTTTCCGTACTTGCACCGGATGTACAATCATCCATATAATAGTCATCCTCAATAGCCTTGGCTGCAGCTGGATAACTTTTCTTCGCTTCACGAGCGGCCTGTACAGTTGTGCGCACCGCCAAGTGTGCCGATGAAGTCAAACCGAATGTAACTACCGTCAGCCAATACTCACGGATTGGATCATGACGATTTTCTCTCCAAAATATGCGCTGCAGGTTCCATTGTTGTCTATTTATCCTAACCTGGTTGAACATTTTCTTGATATCTGCGCATACTGCGATACGGTGCCGTCTAAAACGCATTATGATTTCATGTAAATTTCTCTGTAACTTCTCTCCTAACATCTGTATATCGTTCAATGAAATACCTCTATCGGTCTTACAACTTGCATCGTAAACTACTCGTGGTTTCTTTTTTTCTGTACAATGATGGGGAATATGATAAACAATCTCACCAGGCTGTGGCTTTTCTGTACACGGTTGTAAATGGCCTAACGCAATGCTTTCTCTCATTTGTTGTACATAAAATTGATGCATTTGAGGATTTCTCTCTAACTTTTTTTCCAAATACATGAAACGGCGGAATGCAATTTGTTTTGATGAACCTATTTCTTTATACTCCTCCTTCAATGGCATCATTACGACAAATACACCATCTGTATCACGGAAATGTGTGCTTACGAAATGTTCTTCAACTAACTCTTCTTCTTTAGTCCGATTCGAGTGTACTTCAATTTGATCCATTTCCCATAATCGGCTTAATAGTCTGTCCAGTTGTTCTTCTTTTTTATATTCTATGGATGTATGTACCTGTACGCTGTTATCATTAGAAGAATCATACTGTGGGCCTGACACAATTACACCTAACGTTGTTTCCAACAACACTGTACCATCCAATTTTCGTGTCAAAACGGACGAAATTATTTTTGAGAAAATATTTACCCCTAACAAAATGTGTGTCGATGTTGGTTTCCAATACGTTGGATCCGCATAAGGTGTCGTGAAAGTAGTCGAGACTGGTGTTATATCTACGAAATTTGGTGGTAAAATTGGTTGCCATTCACTTGCCTTTGGTAATACTAGGAATATATCTTCTATACACTCTTCTGAATCATACCACGGACGAATTCTAAGCAATGTCTTTCGTTTTATTATAAATGGAGCGCCATTTATACCTACCACCTTGTCGTTCATCGATGACACAGAGAGGTTGCATTGTTTTCGTAAAAAGTAGCTTACCATGTTTGGATGTGCACCTGTATCCAGCATTGCGTGCATTGGTTCATATAAAATACCATTTGATTCAATCCTCACCATTGCTGTTGGAATTAAAGAGTTCTTTACTTCTTTGAAATAATCTGTAGACTGTATATACGATTGATCCGAAACTTTATTCTTTTTATTCTGTACAATATTTTCTTTATCCTCTACTGACTTTCGTTTTTTACTTTCCATAACTAACTTTTCATTTAACAATCTTTCCTTTTCAACAATTAAATCTAATTTCTCGTTCAAAATCTCTAGTTGGTTGGTGAACATCGGAATGCCTGTACTAATAACTGATGTCTGTACTGTATTTCCACATTTTGATCGTGCTAGTCAATCCTTTTTCTTCTTTTCATCCTTCTGCTTATTCTTTCTGGTTAATGAGTATTCGTCGTCATCTTGAACGCGGAAATTCATTGCGCTTTTGTTCACCTCTTTTGCAGGACACAAAAGAATATTGTGTTTCGGAGCACCTGGGCAGCGAACACAGCCGCGCTGGAAACAATCTTTTTCCTTATGACCTTTTTTAAGGCAATTTGGGCAAATATTGCGTCGATCAACAAAGTCTCGGCGGCCACGAAACGACAACGACAAAAACTGATCGCATTCCCAAATTTGGTGCATGTCCGTGCATACATCACATGGTACCTTACAGTGAGATGGTTTGCCTGACGACTTCTTTTGATCATATTTGGGTTGATGACGGTGTGTCGAACTTTCACGTTTTCGTGTCTGTACTGAACGACTGTCTTGTCCACTGCCTATACTAACGTCTATACGTGATCGGTGGCCAGTTGCTTCGACTGGAAGAGCAGCGGCTTGTCTTTCAATGAACATTAACATTTCCATCGCACCTGGATCATCCGTCTCACGTTGTAATTCCCATTGACGGCTTGTCTCTGGGTCCAAACGTTCGTGCAAACAATGAACGATGAAAAAGTTCCAGAATTCAACTGGAAGGCCTTGAGCCTTCAATTGACGCATCGTTTCATGGGTAACGTTCGCCATGTGTTGAAGTTCTCTTGCTGATGGGGCCCCGTGGAGTTCAGGCAATCGAAGAAAGTTCCGAAGATATTCTCGACGGATCAAATACTTTTTATCGTACATTTGTTTCAAACGGTCCCAACATTCCTTGTAGCCTTCGTCTGACACTAACCATTCGCCAAAATCTTTCTTTGCCTGTCCAACTAACGATTGTTTCAAATACTGGAACTTGTACGCTTCGGTGACGTTTTCGTTGTCATGTATGGCAGCGACAAAACGATCATGAAAACCTTGCCATTTTGTTATTGTGCCATCGAATTGACCCCATGTATTCTTTACGTCGTGCTGATTGAACGGCATGTTCACCTGTACATTGATTTTCTTTTCTTCATCATCCTCTACTGTGACCTTTTCTCTGAAAGCAGCACCTGCCTTGAAATAGGCTGCCTCTATCTT